TAGTTTACAACACAAAAACAAACAAACACACACGTACGCAAGCATGCATGCATGCATGCATGCACACATATATATAGATAGAACATAAGATAAACTAAATCTGGACTTAATTAGTGATAAGTGCATTTTACACACTTATTTTGACTACGAAATGTGGACAATTATTAATTAATATATTGGAATATATCTTAAATGTAATTTCTGTTTTGTAGGACAACAATGATGAATGTAGGGGAATTTAGAAGAAACAAGTGGAAAAATGACTAAAACGAAAGAAAATCAACGTTTAGGGACCAAGTTGCAAATAATCAGAAGATAACCCGAAAGATGAATTGAAGATGTGAAGATACAGAGGTCAAATTGAGTTAAAGAATGAAACATTAGAAGAAGAACAAATGGGAAAAGAGGTTGAGAATGGCGAAACGGAGTTCGATGATCAGATTGCGAGAATTTGGTAGTTCCTAATGCTATATGGTCTCATAGCACAAGAACCTATGTGGTCGCATAGGTTGATTCAGGGGATTTCAAGGCCAAGTTAAACTCTTCTATGCAGTCACATAGTTAGTTTCTGACACGAAAATTCTGATTTCCTTATTCAAGTGAAATACTTATGAAAACAAATCTTTGGATGCGTATTTAAACTCTAGAGCCATCCAGAATGATATACAATGAGAGGAGAAAAAGAGCAATAATGCGAAAAAACAACACCATGAAGCAAAGATTAAAGTCAAGAATTCAATTGGTGATGTCGTTCTTTCATTTTTTTTCTGATTTTCTTCTTTCCATCATATTGGCTAGGTTAATTTTGTACTAGGAAATGATGAACTATGTAATATATTTTTTATTTCTTAGTTTTACATTCTTGATAATAAAAACACGTTTTGACTATTTGAATGGTTTATATGGATTTATTTTCTCCACAATTATTGTGCATATTAATTGTGTGAGTGTGGTGATCTATTTCATGCATTCAAAAGAAGTGAAATAAGTTCGATAGGATATAAATCATCATAGGGTCCAATAGTGGATAGAAATATACCGTATGCCTTATGTGAATCTTTAAGTGTTCATAAAAATTCATGCATTCTTGTATGTCCGCATCTGCCATAGAGATATAGTTGGATCATATATGAGAATATGTTTTACTTTATTCGAGAGAGACTGTTAGATAATTTAGGAGCATTGATTCGCCAATATTTCAATTATCTGTCAAAGTGTAAGACTAGGTTTAAAAAGATTATTACTTAGGGATTCGTGATCCTAGTACATGCATCATATATTCGAAATTTCAAATTACCTTCGACACTATTTGCATTCAGTTTAGTTAAATCATTCATCCTTACGTAATTAGATTAATTTAGTTATAGGCTCTGTTTGGGAGTGATTTTGAAATAAACAAATCAATTTTTTGTCCGTTGGAGGTAGGGACACGTGAAGAGAATAAATTATTTTATTGAAAAGGTACATGGCCGAATTACCGTTTTGCCCTCACTTGTGCAAGATGTGTGCGAATATTTTATACCACATATTTGACCATTCAAATATTGACAAATTCATGCTTACCTACCCTAGGGTCCCACTTGACAAAAGTTGACTTTACATATGGCATTGTAGACGTGAAATTTTGCATTCTTATTTTTAAGAGTTGCGTGAAGGGTAATATTTTTCTGCAATTATTTTGGAATCTTATCATGATACCACATGCATTTCACTCATGTACGTCACTTTATTGTCGGGAAAACATCGTGTGACCATTCTCAATTTCAAGTCTGAATCAAAATACATGTCAAGTTGTTGTGCCAAGTAATTTCTGAACATGTCCCACTCATTTCGTTAGATTTCCGGTACATGCATTTCAGCTGTAACTTTGTCACGTTCATCCGGGAGGTCTACCTCTGCTGCGTCTGGGTCCATTTCCGCTCTCGTAAATGCTTCATCGACCACGCCCGCTCTCGAAGGAAGTTGTGAACGTCCATAGTGGAAATTACAATAGTTGTTTGCACTTTGAAATTATAACTCGGCATACGATCGAGTATTTTCCAACGAATTTTCCAAACGCCGAATGCACGTTCTATTACATTCCTGTATGACGAGTGCCAAAAGTTAAACTTCTCTCGTGCATTTCGAAAATTACGCCTTTGACCGGTGACCCCGTTGTAAAATTGCTGAAAATGATACAATATATCAAACCCCTTATAAGGCGCCATGTACCCAGGTCGATGTGTGAACCCCGAGTCAACTAGATAATATTTCCTATGAGCCGGTTGTGGGAAGTCAATCTCGGGATCATGTATAGTCCTTACCAAGATTCTAGCATCATGACAGTTCCCGGTTATACCAGCAAGCACAAACGTGAAACACAAATTGAAATCACATGCTGCTAGCACATTTTGCGTCGATATACCTTTTCGTCCAATAAAACTCACTTGCTGGTCCCGCGGGAGGACAGCTCTTACGTGGGTACCGTCAATGGCATCGATGCAATCACGGAATATGAAATGCTTGGTCATATTTGGAACATGATGTTCAGCACCACGATTGTAGTTCGAATCGGGTTTAATTACTTGCCTAGAGAACTGGATGACTACATCAAGCACAAGCTTGAAGTAGTGTATGATGGTTTCCAATGAAAGGTTGAAAATAGTCTACACCTGTCTATAGCCTTTTCCATGTGCTAGAATGCAAAGAAACATACCAACTTGTTCATACACATCTACATGTTGCTGACTGCGAAGTCCGTAATCATCTCGAAGCATATGTGCGAAAGTTCGCAGCATCGTAGGGTACATTCGGAACTCTGCGTGGCATTGTTGGGGACTATAGTTCTAGCATCCAGCATGAACATATGATCGTTTCTAGCGAACGAATATCGAGAAACATGTCTTTGTTGTTCGCAATAATAGTTACTTATAGTAACCTCACTGATGTGACAATATTGTAACCACTCGATAATATCCATCTGTAGCTTTTCCATAAATGCCTCATCATCGGGATCAGAGGTCGAATGCAACGTACAGTTGAAGTCGAAATGTGCCAAACCACCACTCAGTACCTGGAGATCCAAGATTTTGCTCTTACAAGTATGTAGAAATATGTAGTAGATATACGTTGCCTTTTATAGGCAAATGGAATGATGATTGGGTTGAACTGTTGCAGGTAAACACCATGCATGTGAGTGATGTGATGATTGTGACGTGACGTGACCTGTACTTTCTTGGTAAGTACTTGGAGAACCAAAATTATGATAACATCCAACTGCACACTTTGTTTGGAAGCCTGCTCAAAATCCATACGAATCATAATTAACAAGTCAATCACAGGAACAACTGTTTTTAGCAAGCACACGACAAATAAAGCTTCAGTACATCATACATATCCGGCACAAAGAAAATGTTTTAACCTCAAATCTAATACAAACAAGTCCATAATATCTACCTAAACACAGTTCTCACTGAGGCTGTGATTTCCTGTATTCCTGCCAGCTCCACTCCACCCATGCGAACTTTTCGTTTACATCATCTTGCATATCCAATATTTCCCTATTATGTTTTTGGGATAGGAAAGTGCACGTCCAGTAGTACTAATTAGTCTTTTTTTCAATCGACACGTTGCCAATAACTCTTTCATGCATGTCTTCAGGTTCGACACAGCAGGTCTAATTAAGTTGTCAATTTTGGCAGCAACCTTCTCACTGACTGTGGTCGCACGGTCCACAGAGTATAACACGTCCCGAGCTGAAACCTTCTTTTTCTTCTCCTTAGCTCACTTTCGTGATGACTTCTTTCCCCACTGTACGGGTCGGACATATCCATGCTTCTTACAGTCAGTTCAGGTTCTGCACCCTCGTCGCTTGAACCGCTGCTCTCCACATCGACTGGGATCTCATCACGATGATCTTCGTGTCCACTATCTTCAAACATCGTGAAGCCAGTTCGACATAGCTTCGATGGTGTAACTGCATACTTGTCGCAGTCGAAAACGTCTCCGAAAAGAGCCTTATATTGATACACCTCTCAACAATCTTTGCCTTTAAATTATTTGTAGTCTTTGTTCTCCTGTGGTAATACAAACGGAAACATGTTCACAAATTAAGCGAAGAAATGAAAAGCAGTTACAGATTCAAAAACGGGGATAGCCAATTGTTAAGCAAATTCCAGAAATAAACACCCAAAACAGAGAAGTATTTCAAGCCGATTGGATTAGAACATGAGCATAAAAGCAAGCACTTGGCTATGCAATATTTATGTTCCGCAAAGTTACAGAATCGAAATATATGAATTGACTATGATGTAATTAAACATCCAGAACACGAATAATTTTCCTATGTTATTTATTAATTGAAGAATCAAATTGCTTCCCAAGCACAAACGGAGCCAACTCAAACATGATCATTAACCATTTGAAGAATTGAGAACCAAATTAAACTATGTCAGTCGAACACATATACGAGAGCATGAACTGGAGGTTTATGGATAAAATATTACCTTAATCTTTTGAGCCCACCACTCATCCGATGCGCCAATCCTGCCGCTCGACGAGTCGTATAAGATACCACTATAGTTGAGCAATTCTTCAAATCTCTTTTGTTTCAGGTGGAGGGCATCCCATCGATTTTTGAGCTGTTGCTTGTTCCAAGTGTGGCTGAAATTGGTGTTGAACAAGTGTCTCCCAGCCATGTTTGGTGAAGCACTTCCCATTCCTGTGTCCGTCGGCGATGAAGGTCTCACAGGCAGTGACGAATATGTTCATATCATACGAATTCCACTGTGCATTCTTATGGGGACCCGAATTAATTTCAACGGGAGGGGCATTGCAGGTGGATGAAGGCGGGAAATAACCCATCTGCAGCATTTTTCGGAGAAATTAAATTTTTATTCAACCCACTCAAACACAGTTCGGGAAATAAACTAAACGCGACAGAAAAAAACTTTCTTGCAACATCGCAGGATACATACCGAAGAAATGAACGGATTCATATTTATTTTTAAGACTTCTTGTGGATGAGTCACATCTGTAGCGGGTTCAGTACGCCTGTGCAACGAAGACGGCCGGATAGAAAGCAAATAGCTGGCGAGAATGTGATGCAGGCGAAAGAAAGAGTTTCCCGTGACGTGGGATTGTGATTTCAGTAAGAAATCATATGCAGCTGGGTTGTTCTTGCCTCATGGCTACCCGAAAATCAGACATTTTCACCTTGTTGAAAATATTAATCGGCGACCCATTTTTGAAATAAACACCTAATTGCGGATGGAAAGGGAAAGCAAATGCACGTGAGTGAGATAGGTGGGAAATGATAATGGTGGGTGGGGTGGTTTGTGTGTAATATGAATGAAGTTGAAAGGTCAAACTTGGAAAAGTGCCTGAAACTTTCCTGTCACTCCATGATAAAAAATTACATTCCTGCACAAATCAACGGTAAAAAAATCAATTTTATGCTACGTTTAAGCACTCCCAGACAGGGGCATGATTTCATTACAACAACACTTCAATTTTATTGTTTCAGTTAAGGTCACGGTAATAGAAATTGGACTAATCAATCTTCATAGGATGATACTCGAACTCAAAAAGTCCACTTTATTATTACTTGTTAAAGAACCATATGCATGCAAAGGTTTTAATTCGAAATATATATTCGCATAACAAGTTTTGGCATCGTTGTCAGGATTAAATTTAGTTTAATTTTATTTATCTTGACACTAATTCGAACTTTATTTTTTATTTATTTTGTTTTAGTTAGTTATTTTTTTAGTAGTTTATCTAAGTGCTACTTTTGATCTTCTTTCAGGTCTTGTATGCGAAGGTCGCTTGACAGTTACTTGATTCCAGCTGATTCAGAAATCGAACGGACCTTCCATTGTAGGCAAAGAGAAGGAAGAGCAGTACAACAGATGACTAATGCGCAAAATAAATAAGTGGTTTAAGTCAATGAAGAGGAAGTTATTGATGAAGGGAAATATGCTAGTTGGGAATTTCATGACACCGCAAATCATTCAGAGTCAATCTGGCATCGCTACTCACCGTTTGGGCAGACTAACTTTTGGTTGAAGACCAATATAATACATCTATTCTAGAATGGACACCAGTTTTATGGCAGAGCTGAAGAAAACCCACATACACACATCTCTCGATTCTTGAAGATGTGTCAACATTTTCGATATCAGGATATCTCAGACGATGCTATCAGACTAAGGTTGTTCCTACACACTCTACATGATAAAGCACTGGAGTGGTTGGATTCTCAACCTATTGCCGCATCAGCACATAAAATGATCTAACTCAGAAATTCTGCACAAAGTTCTTTTTGCCAACCAAAATTGCAAAATTATAGCATAACATACCTATTTTCCATCGAGGTGATTCCGAGTCTTTTGATGAAGTTTCGAATAGATTCAAGAACATGCTTAGAAAGTGTCCTCATCACGGCATTAGTAAGGGGCTCCAGGTCGAATACTTCTATATGGGATTACTTCCATCATTCAAAAGCATGGTGGATTCTTTGTCTAATGGTTCATTATCAACAAAAACCATTGATGTCGTATTGAAATTGTTTGAGACAGTTGCAACTACTTCAGCAATATAGGCTTTTGAATGGGTTATTGAAAGAAAAGTGCATGGTGTGTACGACGTGGATGCTTACTTAGCATTGTCCGCAAAAATAGACTCGTTATTCCATAAGATTGAGAGCATATCACAAATAGCTAACATTGCACAAGCCAAAAAGCCAAGTTATGAGGAGTATGGAGCAGATCACAACACAGTCGATTGCCCAATTTTAGCACAAGGTATGGACACAAGTGGACTTCGTACAATGGGGACAACGTCAACAGAACAATCTACTTTCATATACATATAACCTAGGGTGGGAAAATCACCCAAACTTCTCTTGGGATGGTCAGAATCAGAATAGGCCACAGGGTTAGTTTCAGCAGCCGGGAAAGATGCTGTAGTTGGAAGAAATGTTCGGGAAATTTTGGATGTGCTGAAGAAAGTCCACATTAATACCCCGTTCATAGACGCAATACGACATATTCCAAGCTATGCAAAATTTTTGAAGGACGTGATATCAAAGAAGAAAAAGTTTCCAAAATTTGAAACTGTGGCACTGACAGATAAGAGAAGTGCAAGATTACAAAAGAAACTGCCTCCTAAGCTCAAGGAACTAGAGAGTTTCACCTTACCTATTTCAATTGGAGAAGCTGACTTTTATTGCTTTATGCAATACATGTGCAAGTATTAACTTAATGCCTTTATCTATATAATGGAAATTGGGATTGTGAGAAGCAAAAGAAACAACGATGTTACTGCAGTTGGCTGATAGAAGCATCGTACATCCAAGAGGCAAAGTTGAGGATATATTCATCAAAGCTGGAAAATTAATTTTTTCAGCAGACTTCATTGTTTTAGACATAGAAGAAAAGGATATTCCAATAATTTTGGGGAGACCATTATTAGCAACAAGTCAAATTTTGATTGATATGGAAAAAAGGTGAGCTAATTTTGAGGATAGATGAGGAACAATAAGTTTTTAAATTATATAATCAATCCAAACAACCATCAGCCCTTGACGAGTGTCATTGTATTGATAAAGATGAACTATCCATTTCAACAAAACTGCCAGAAGAGAAAATCAAAATTTGGAGAAATTCTTGGTAGGGACGAGAACAAAGAATTCAAAATTTGGATAGCTAAAAGAGGATGTAAAGTTGAAAATTACAAAGAGTACAATAGTGAAATTCTTTGACTTGAACCACCATGAATCAAATGCTATAAAGTTGAGCTATAGACTATAAAAAGCGCTGGTTGGAAGGCAACCTAACAATTCTCCCCTTTTACTTATTTCAATTTTTTCATTGGATTATGAATTTTCATGTTTTTCAAAATTCTTAGTGTTAATAGGTCATTAATCGTCCCTATACGTCACTAAGAGTCTATGCATAGTCAAAACTACTTTTAATTGTGTTGTGTATGAGTTTGGGAGTGTTGGAATGATATTTAGTTGATTCGGTGAGAAAGTCACGCATTTCGAGACAAAATGATCAATTTCGTGTTTTCAAGTTTAAAAATATTTTCGTAACCACACTCATGGAATCCACGCACCCCTTGTATGTTAAAATATGCTTTGATAGGTTGTTATGGTCGTTGGATAGTCGGGTTGTATTGTGGATCGAAAACCGAGTTCTTAGTGCAAATTGACAAAAAAAAAAAAAGTTTTCAAAGAGTTGAGTAGGTTTTAAAATTTTTCCATGTTGCATATATTCATTACCTGCATTTGAACTTGTTTAATACGAAAATTGAGGCCTCAAACGAGAATGATCAAAAGTGGGAAAAAAAATTTAAGCAGGCAAACAGACCTCATTCCTAGTAGTCTATGCAACTGCATAGTGCTACCAGGAATGCGGTCGCATTCCTCATGTCGTGCCTAAATTGGCCCAGCACATTAGTTATATGCGACTATACCTATTTCTTCTACGCGGGGGTCAAAATTGGTTTAAAAAATTGCATAACCCTACACTACACACACAACTACGCACACACCACAACTTGGCACGAGCTCACCCACGCATACGACCACATACCCTTTTCACTTTCACTCGTCATTCACGAACATAACCCGTCACCACTCTACACAGGGCACTTCCTAAATTCCTCGACATCAAGAAGCACCTCAAGAATTCCTCCTAAGCGCACGACTACCTTCACCTTCAGTAGAAGGCGCATCGGCTCCAATTTTCCTCCACCACCTCTATATTAATCAGGGGAGTTTTCTGAGCTCCATTTTCTTTATCTTTATGTGCACTTGTCCTTTAACTTTGCATTTTGTTATTCTTTAAGCAATGAGGACAATGTTTTGTATAAGTTTGGGATGGGAATATTTCCATGGCATTCATAATTTTACTACAGTTTTTGTATAATTGTGTGTCAAAAAAGGATTGAAAAAGATTTTTTTTTTTTGCAATTTTTATTCATTTATTTTATAGTATTAAATTATAATTATAGTTTTGTGTGCTTGTGTGGATTTGACGACCTTGCTGGCTATATGTTGAATATTGGAATGTGTGTGAACTGTTAATAATGGAAATAATGCACTTTTAGATTAGTCAAAACTTGTTTATGTGAACTTGACATTCTTTATGCACGATACTCATGGTTGACATATTAGATTGGTGATTTGGTTCATTACTTAGAGAATAGTTGAACATAGTAAGTAAACCCGAATAACCTCTATAGTATTAATCCATAATCCAACTATAGAGTAGTTTGGAGATTGTTGAGCTTTACAGGAGAACATTGAGATGAGTATGGATTCCGTGCATGATATAATCTTGTGTGGATTGTCTAAAATCAATGAGATGAAGATGAGGTAAAAGTCTTAAGTTAGGGGTTAGTTTTAGAAACTAAATGTCAAAAAAAAGCATTTATATCTGTGTGAATAAAAGCATTTTTTCGAGTTTGTATAACTCGAGTGATTAAGCATGTAAGGGTGGTTAAAAATCTAGTGTCCTAGGGTCATCTGACTTGAGAATTATCGGCCTAAAACTAGCTACATGAGTTATATAGAAAGCAAATGAAAAGATGTTCGTTTGGGAAAAAAAAAAAGAAATATTTAGAGAAAATATAAGTAATAAAAAAAATAAGCAATTGTATTGATTAAGCCCCAAGAAATTTGGTTGATAGAACTATACCTTTGATGCGAGGCAAGTAACTTAGTCTAGTCTTAAAGTTTGAAGCAATAAAAAATGTAGGAGAATCTCGACTTGTTGAACTGTGAACTTGTAATAGTAAGATCAATCCAAACTAAGAGAGTGTAAGGAATAGAATTGAATAAGTTCAACTTAGGATGCACCTTGGGAAAATTGAGTGAAAAAAATAAGTTTGGGGGTGTGCATCTCTCGAGTAAAGTAAGGAAATATTTGACTATTATGTGTTAAGTATTGAGCTAATCATGATTTTAATATGTCGACATGAGTTTTTACACACACACACACACATCGAGTTATGCATGCAACAGGTTGAGTTTGATTTGATTTTGTACTGTTGAAGTTATTCATTTTGTTAATTACTAAGTTCCAATACTGAGACACGACATGTTGTCAAACCATGTTTTATGTGGAGTTAAGTCATAGATTTGTTTGAGAACTAACAATAGTTCAAGTTTGGGGAGTTGATAAGTGCGTTTTATACACTTATTTTGACCACGAAATATGGATAATTGTTGATTAATATGTTGGAATATATCTTAATTCTACGTAATTTATGTTTTGTAGGACAACATTGATGAATGTGGCGGAATTTAGGAGAAACAAGTGGAAAAATGACTAAAGTGAAAAAAAAAAATCAAAGTTCAGGGACCAAGATGCAAATAACCGAAAGATAACCCTAAAAGATGAATTGAAGATGTGAAGATGCAGATGTCAAATTGAGCTAAGGAATGAAGCATTGGAAGAAGAAAAAGTGGGAAAAGATGTGGAGAATGGCGAAATAGAGTTCGATGATCAAGTTGCAAGAATTTAGTAATTCTTATTGCTATGCGGTCGCATAGCACAAGAACCTATGCGGTCGCATGGGTTGATTCAGGGGATATCAATGCCAAGTTTAGTTCTTCTATGCGGTTGCATAGTATTAAACTATGAGGTCACATAGTTAGTTTCTGACACGAAAATTTTAGTTTCCTTATTCGAGTGAAATATTTATAGAAACAAATCTTTGGATGCGTATTTAAACCCTAGAGCTGTCCAGAACAATATACAACATATGCATAAGGGTTTTGAAAGGGGAAAAAAGATCAATAATGCGAAGAACAATATCATGAAGCGAAGATTAAAGTTAAGAATTCAATTGGTAATGTCGTTTCTTCATTGTTTATCTGATTTTCTTTTTTCCATCATGCTAGACTAGATTAATTTTGTACTAGGGAACGATGAACTATATAATATGATTTTTATTTCTTAATTTTACATTCTTGACAATAAAATCCAGTGTTCTAAAATTCGTAATGCGTTGCGATGAGTCAAAACCGAGAATCAAGAATCACAAGTTTAAGCGTGTCAATGCGAAGAATAAATGCCATTATGCGTTTCGTATTTTTAAGGCATTAAATATATTTTTATAAAAAAAATAAATTTTTTAATATATCATTAAAAAAAATAGATTAAAAAAAAAGGGATTAGGCGGGATAATGCGCGCCTAGGCGCACATTATTCCCTGCATTTTAGATGGAAAACGCATTTTTCGCACATTTCCCAAATTCGGCGTGTTTTCAACCCGCGTCGCGCCTAGGCGGCGCATTTTAGAACATGGATAAAAACACATTTTAACTATTTGAATGGTTTTCATGCATTCGAAAAAAAAGAAATATGTTCGACAGTGTATAAATCATCATGGGTCCGATAGATGATAGAAATATATCGCTATACTTTATGTGAATCTTTAAGTATTCATAAAAACTCATACATTCTTGTATGTTCACAACCGTTATAGAGATATAATCGAGTCACATATGAGAATATGTTTGACTTTACTCGAGAGAGACTGTTAGATAATTTAGGAACATTGATTCGCCAATATTTCAATTGCCCGTCAATATGTAAAACTAGGTTTAAAAAGATTATTACTTAGGGATTTGTGATCTTAATACATGCATCATACATTTGAAAATTTTAAATTACATTTAATGCTATTTGCATTCAATTTAGTTAAATCATTCATTCTTGCGTAATTAGATTAATTTAGTTACAATTTCATTACAACAACACTTCAATTTTATTGTTTCAGTTAAGGTCACAATAATAGAAATTGGACTAATAAATCTTCGTGGGACGATACTCGAACTCAAAAGTCTACTTTATTACTTGTTAACGAACTGTACGCTTGATAGTGGTTTTAATTCGAAATATATATATTCGCATAAAAATTAGCAATATACTAAGTTTGACAATAAAATATTAATCTTCAACAAATTTCAGAGACAATAAAGTGGATAGAACAATTACAAATATTAGATCAATTGAATAATTAAACTGTAAATAGTCATAAGATTTTCAATAAATTCATTTTTCCCTTAATAGATACAAATAAAAGTATATATAAAACATACAAAACCACATAATTAAGAAAAATAAACAGGAAATGAAAGCCCCAAGAAATCATCATAGAACTCAATAAAACGAATTTGCTAAACACCAAGTGATGAACCAAAACTCCAAAATCACCAAACCCCAATATGAATTTCCAATGCAAATATTTCAAAGAGAACTTGAATAAAAGTTACAAAATTGATCTTTATAGCAAAAAATGTAACCTTCATTAGAATTTCATAGAGTCCAAATCAATAAAGTTAAAAACTTAATAGAGGAATTAGACAAGAAGAAGAAGAATATGTACAGATAAAATTAAACACAGTTTGAAGAAGAAGAATATGTATAGATAAAATTAAACACAGTTTGAACACTATACATAGAACTCCTTGCTAGTTTGAAAACTTACATTGATTTTTCTAACTGTAAGCTCGTCATTTTTTGGAAACACAGAAGTTAGATTTGAACCTCAACCTTGCCTGATGAAACTGTTAATTTTAAAACTCTGCACAATCTTCGGTCTCAAAAGAAGAAGGAGAAATATTGTTTTTGATTTGAATGAGAAGTGTTTGGGAATTTGAAGGAGAAGAAGATTTATGGGATGTTCTCTTTATTGTTTTCAAACCGTTTTCTGTTTTCGATTTTTCAAAATAGTGAAATCGTGTTCTTTTTCCTATTTTCGAAAACTCGTTTTTGAAAACAAGTTAAACATTTATAAAGAAAACCCAAAATGACAAATTTGTCGTTTTGAGTGTTTTCAGTTATGATCAAACCAAAATTTTCAAAACGCGTTTTTGGTGTTTCCAGTTTAAGTTACCCCAACCACCACCACCGCCGCTGCAACCACCGCCGCCTGCACCACACCACACAACCGTCGATCTGCCATCACAAAAACCACCACCACAGCCACCACTACAAAAACCGCCATATTCACCACCACCACAAAAACCGCCAAAATCGTCGCAAAACCACCACAACAACCATCGTCATAACCACAGCCACACCAAAAAACTACCTCCACAACCACGCATCCAAACACCACCGTCACAACCACAACCACAACCAACCACCGCCACAATTAAAAAAAATTAAATAGAGAGAGACGAAGTCGCGGGTAATCGCAACCACAACCAACCACATCGCACACCACGCACCAATTGCAACCACTGTCGCTACTCATGACAGAGAAGAGTGGAAGAAGAGAGACGAAAGAGAGGGAAGGAGAGAGAGACGAGAGAGATGAGAAGAAAGAGAACGGGTTTTCCAATTTTTGATTTTTGAAAATAATTTTTTCAAAATGTCAAAAAAAAAAAAAATACATTTTCAACAATTTCAAAATGGACACTCAAACACAAAACCCAAAATGAATTCAAAACTCAAAATACAAAATTGAAACATAATGAGAAAAACTCCTTAAATTTATAATTGTGAATTTGGGAAAGAAGGGTTTAACGAAGGAAAAAAGTCACAATTCTTCATTTATTTGGTTATGTAAGGGAATGGCAAATTGACCGTCTCAACTAATTTCCCCTTTTCAAAAGTAATTTATTTATTTAGAGCATGTTTGACTAAACTTAAAATTCAATTAAAATTGAAAATATAGTTGTTATTGTGTTTCACTCGTCTAATAAAAGTCAACAATAACGACTATATTTTCAATTTTAATCTGATTGTAATTTCTACCGAACACGCCTTTATTATTTATAAAAGAAACAACGATTTCATCAACACAGTTCAATTACATGAAGAGAATTGCTACATGTACATAAATTTATTCATAATGATATCCATAATTTTACGTGACACTGAATTCAACCATTAATTCAAATCTTATATTTTCACATCAACAACAAGATTTTGTTCACGTCACATTGTCACATTATGAACACTATCTTGTATATATATTATGTACACTTTTCCTTGCAGCAAACGCAGATTCGTAAATCCCTCCGTCTCACTCTCTCACACACAGCCTTCAAATCTGAGGATCATTGCCTGAGGTAAAACTCTGTTCTCTATGTACACTCTGCACATACGCAGTAGGTATATACGAATATCAATTTTTTTTTAATTTTAATTTTTGAGAAATTAAATTCTTCGCTGTGGTTGAGATCTTATGTTTTATCAACTGGTAGCAGTTTCCCTTTGCTTTATTTTATTTTCTTCTTAAGAAATTTAGAAATTCCTTTTATGCGGATGGTGCTTTAAATTTTCTCGATTCAATGTCCGGGTTCAAGCTTTTATATCATTTTTTCCATTACCATTTTTTAACAGGTTATGATAATGAAATCAGAGATTCGTATCTTGCAGAAGTAGTCTTAAAAAGAAAAAAACAGTTTTTTCATTTTTTTTCTGGGAATGCATTCTACTAATTTTCGTCAGATGGGTTATATTCATCAAGGTTTTGAGGATTTTGGAATGCGATTATTGTGCTTCAGTTTTCTCTTTTTGAGGGACCTGTATATTGTGTTTTTAAAGCAGATTCTGTAACTTCATTAGCGTGTTTAAGATTTTCGGCTCTGAAATTCTTACCCTTTTTCCCATAAAATAATTCCGTTTTTTATGATTTTCAAGATGTTGGACTTTTTTTTTAATGATTGAAATTTGTTATTTTCTGTTTCATTCTTCCAACCCTTTTGTATTTTCCATTGAATCTCAATTGCAGCTCAGCAAATTTTTTTGAGACACAATGTCTGTGGTGGATGAGCCATTGTATCCAATAGCAGTACTTATAGATGAGCTAAAGAATGATGATGTGCAACTGCGTTTGAACTCTATACGTAAACTATCCACGATTGCACGCGCCCTAGGGGAGGACAGGACCCGGAAGGAGTTGATCCCATTTTTAAGTGAGAACAATGATGATGACGACGAGGTTCTGCTTGCGATGGCCGAAGAACTGGGTGTGTTTATTCCATACATTGGAGGGGTGGAGCATGCTCATGTGTTGCTCCCACCTTTGGAAGCCCTTTGCACTGTAGAGGAGACTTGTGTGAGGGACAAATCTGTGGAGTCATTGTGTAGAATTGGATTACAGATGAGGGAAAATGATATGGTCGATTGGTTTATCCCTCTTGTGAAGGTTAGATAAATAACTCATATTTTGTTCACTAGTCCTAGTGCTGTTTCCACGACTTTATCTTTGTTAGGCGTCTAGTAGGAAGCTGCTGGTAGATTTTGGGAAAATCCTGCCACCTTGATGTAAGCCAGACTTCTGGTTTGCTATTTTTCTCTTTTTCAGAGTCCTGACAACATGTTCACATTTGGGTCTGAAGTTTAAGAAGCGAATAACTTGAATACTCATATTGTCTTTCTCTAAATATTGCCTCAAATAGAGAACGGTCAACTCTTAAGATTCTTTTTTGGATCAAACACATAGGGCTGATAGAAGGAAACTGAAGGACGCATTTGTCCTGGTTTTGGCATAGGCCAGCTTCCAGGGGGTGGCTAGTACTATTAGTTCTGTATGTTTGTGTGCACGTGTATGTGTATGTGTGTTGCTTTATAAAGCTTTGTGTTTAACCTCTTTGATGAAGTATCAAGTATTGCGGTTTATAAGATATTTGTTTCTTATTTGTTTATCTTTTATGCTTGGACATGGTGTATATAGAGGCTGGCAGCTGGTGAGTGGTTTACAGCTCGAGTTTCTGCATGTGGACTGTTTCATGTTGCTTACCCCAGTGCCCCAGATGTGTTAAAGACAGAGCTAAGGTCAATATACAGCCAACTGTGTCAAGATGATATGCCAATGGTGAGAAGGGCTGCTGCAACTAACTTGGGGAAATTTGCTGCTACAGTTGAAGCTTCTCACCTCAAGACTGATATAATGTCAATGTTTGAGGATCTTACTCAGGATGGTAATTAATTTCTTAGTTACTGATTTGCATAATTTTTAGTTACAATTGATGAAGATATTGTCATCTGAGCAATTGAAGATGTGTCTAAGCTACATGTATATGAGTTGTCTTTAAAAGTGATAATTAACCCAGTTCACTGAATTGCTTAAACATTTGAAATTTGATCCAAGAAGAATTGGAAGCATGAATACCACTAACATGTAAATTTATTCCAGTTAAGTTAGTGATGCACTTTTTAAGAGCCTTGCCAAAGCTTGTAGCTCGCCTTAGGGCTTTGCCTTTGCTTGGTTTGTTTTCAATTTTTGTGGAATTTGGGATGTAGTTTTTGTTAGAACCTATGCAAGCATTAAGGGAAGCCAGTCTTTCGGGAATTATATTTCTCATTCGTGACTGACTGGAAAGAAGGATCTAGCTATTTTGGATTTTCCAGCTATCTAGTAATGAAAAGAAAACAAAAAAGGATTCAGGTATCCTCCCCAACTTTAATATCACTCAAGGCGCCTCATGCTGGGCATTCATTAACATCCTTGAAGCTTCTGCTTTAAAAGCCCTTTTGTCTAGGCTTACACCTCAACTTATAGTAGGGGAACTCCTCACCACGAGTCTCAAGGTGACTTAGACATGCTTTCTTTAGTCCTGCCCTTTCTAGGCTTCATTTTTTCAACCACAGCTTTTTGGCTGATTTCATGGCTCATAATCATCTTATTGAGTTGTTCAACACAAACCAAACCAGAAAGGTAAAAGAGAGATTTTGTTGACTAGAGAACACTAATTGAAGTTCTTGGTCTCTAAAAAAACAATAACTTGGAAAAGCTAATTTTATTTATGGGCTAACATCGGGAACTAAACTCATGCATGGTGGATTCATTCTGTCTGCCCTACCCCTCTACTCCCACAATTGAAGTGTGATACCCCAAGTGATAGCAACTTTTTAGTGATAGACAACTGGTGTCAAGCAATATGCAACGTCACTCTTTTTTTCTTTCATTTTTTTGTTGTTTCTGTATTTTTATTTTCTTTTCTCTTGAGACAAAATTTTATTGTCAGTAGTTTCATTTGTTTTACAGTTTTAGTTCTAGTTGTTGATATATTACTAGTTTGTTAATCTATTATTTGTTTCCTTTGTTAAAAGTTTTCTGTTTTTAGTTGAAAGTTGGACCTCTAATTTTGCTGAAATGTTTTTTATGGATTCTTTATTTGATTTATGTTTATTAGGGATATAATTGTCCATTTTTAGATTTTTTAAAATTATTTTATTGTTTATGTTGAGGCTTAAGCTTCAAAGTACCTCAATGCTTTTGTCTGACGTCATGGGGGCACAATGCATTGATACGGAATTTAGCATATTTATACACGGGCTCGTAGAATATCTTATCAAGGACACATGATAGATACGAGATGGAATGCTAAGGTGATGTGGAAGACACCAATGATACACTCTACTTTTGGGGTTCAAAATGTACTTTTAGTTAGAGGAAATGAGTTCTATCTTTTGGTTACAAAAACAAAAAAAAAGAAAAAAAAAAAAGAAAAAAACTGAAAGAGGATAACATTTAGGACTTGCTTGGTCCTCATTATTTTTAAAATACATTTTTCTCTCTTATTTTTAACCACACATTTTTCAATAAAATAATATTACACACAAACCCAAAACTTTTTCTTATTTTTTAACCATACATTCTCAATCAAAATACTATTCTAAAATGCATTTTGGACCGAAAAAGGGGCTCAAACAAGCTTTTAATAGGATTATGAAAAAAGATTTCAAAGAGAGTAATTATCGAAGGCTGTGGTAACTTGGATCGTTTAGCTATTTATAACATGCTTTGATAAACCAGGGCCGTACCTGTATTTCGCTAGGTCTGAGGCTAATTTCAGAATTTGAGCCCTAAATCGTAGCAAGTAATCAAATTTATTTATTTTTTTCATTTATAAGAGTTTTATGGAACTAAAATTTGTTAACATAAAATCAACAATAAAATAATAATATGAAATATTCAAAAAATATATATTATAATCAAATAATAATGCGAAAATATTTTAAGCAATCACTTAAATACAACTCATCCTGCGGTTTTAGAGACAAAAATATTAATCAATTTTGAATAGTCGAGTTGTTCAACCATTACTTTTTCAATAGATAACATGATCAATCTATTCAATCTTTGATGTGACAAAGTTGATTGGAGATAAATCTTAATTAATTTTAAGTTGAAGAAATTTCTTTCTGCTGATGCAATTGTAATTGGTATGATATTTGATTTACTTGTTTGACCTTTAGCTGCTTTCCTAAATATTCCATTCCACAAGTACAAAATCAAACCAAAATTGTTTCTATTCTACAATATGGTTATAAGATATCTATGAAGGCAAATTTGTGGAAAAAAAGTTTCCAAACAATTTATTAATAGAAAAGGAAAAAAAAAAATTAATAATTATCAATGTTTCTAACTTGGCTATAATGGGAGAAGATTTCCTTTCATTACATGTGTGTGGTAAATACACTCTGCACTCACAATCAATTCAATTTCACATAAAATAGGAAATAAACTTCTTATTTGCAAATAAGGGTTAAAGTTTCACAATTTCTCACTTTGTATGAGACTCACAGCCTTTAGAGAAAAAAATTGTTATTGCAACAATAATAACGATATATTATCTAAGGTTATAAATATTTTCATAATGAAACAGTAAAATGGAAAAAATTAAATCACATCATATTTAACCATATATTGCACCAAATTACCCCACGAAAGGCACAAATTCACATTAATTAATAACGGATTATAAATCAAGAAAAGAAATTCAATCTTACACACAAATCAATGATCCGATCAATAGGATATTGAAAAAATATAATTAAATTTAGAGACAAAACTATACAGTAATCAGTTAAATATATAAAATCTATCAATCAATGCAATAAAAAAAAAACTAGGGTTAATAAATGATCAGATTAACAAAGATGTGTGTAACGATGCATAAATATATACCGATGGGGTGTTACACAATGGAATGATTATTCCAAATCCAGACGCTAATTCTATGATTTATGATATCATTGTTGAAGAAGCCACATTGTTTGGAGCAGAGGTGAACGAGTATAAACGACAATGATTTTTTAAAATAAAGAAGGAAGCAAAAAAAAAATTTTTTTTTTGGCCCCCTAAAGAGCTGGGCCTGAGGCGACAACCTGTTGGGCCTCTCCTCAGGTCCGGCTATATGATAAACTATATGAACTATTCTTTCAAGCTACCTAGTTCAAAAACCACCTACATAATTCAATTGATAACCATGTACATGTTTAAACCTCAGATTAAGTTTTTCAGTTATCCGTTACGCAGAATTTTGGATGATGTGCTCTAAAACATGAATGTATTATTCAATGTGCCTTCATAGTCTTGCCCTACTCGTTTCTGAAAAATGCTCTGCCAATGTGTTCATCTCACATGAACATATCTTTGCGATTAACGTTTTATTAGATGTTCGAGGATGTAGTCTAGAGATGAGATTGTCCCCTGAATCGTACATTATTGCAAGCCACTTCAGGTGGATCATTACTGTGGAAAGAGCAGAGGCTCTCAGCTCTAGTTGGGCGAGCCTTGGATCATAAATGATGGGCATACTTTTAACTGATCTCCTGCCGAATTATAAACAAATATGTGAGTGTTGATCAAATAAAAAAGTTGGATGCTGAGCTAATATGCACTTCGTTAATGCTTCTTTTTTCAGATCAAGATTCTGTTCGCTTGTTAGCTGTTGAGGGCTGTGCTGCTCTTGGCAAGTTGTTGGAGCCTCACGATTGTGTTGCACATATCGTCCCTGTAATTGTCAATTTTTCGCAGGTATGCTTCAGACAATTGATTTTGTGTTGTCGTAGTTCTTATAGTTGGACCTTCTTTCTGAGATTATCATTGTGTAGCCAGTTTTGATGTCCTACTTTATGAGGTTTCTTGTTCTCTATTTATATGAGTGGATAAATTTGTTGTAAATACACAATGCTTTCTTGGAAATTCTGCGACCATCTTTCCTTGTGTATGCATTATGTTATTATCTTGTCACTCTTTTTTGCCAAATCAATGACTATCTGTCTTTGATAAGATCATATTAGAAAGTATTCCCACAAAGAAGACGAGTTCCATTGCATTTGAAAGCTGAAGGAAATTAATGATTGAAACTGAATTTCTTTTACCCTTTTTATTTTGTTCCATATTCATTTTCAGTAATAGTACTGACCTTTGGATTTTATCTTTGTTATTTGAACAGTGGGAGTAATAATTATATTAGAAACTGCTACTTGTACTTGCAGATGTTTGCATTTTATACAAGTAGAGCATCTATATTTTGACAAGTGCTTGAACTCCTCATGTGAGATTTCACTATCGTCTCAAAGCTATGCCTTGACTGTTGCTCATTGGCTTACAGAGGTGCAAGCCTCAGGGCGGTGTGGTGTGTTGTCTATTTTTTTTTTTTTTAATGCACAAGCTAACTCTAAAACTAGTAAAAATGGATTTGAGAATACCTATGCAACCTACAATTGGTGTTCCATTACAACTTTTTGGTGGCAGAAGGCCGATGAAAAGAGACATTTGTCACATAACTTCACTTTTTTTATCTTTTGAAGTTTTCTTGTTGATGTCCTTTTTTTGTTTTCTTTTTTGTACTTTTATAAGTTTGTTATTAGTTATGGGGAAAGGATAGGGGAAGGCACCATTGCAAATGGAGGATGAGGTAAAAGAATGTGAGGAAACTGATAACCATGAGGATGATGGGGAATCAAGTTTGCTGATGACTCAAAAAGATGTCTTTGGCTTTTTCTAATTCTAGCAGTGGATTGCAATAAGAGAATTAAATACGCTGATATTTTCATGAAGATTAAAACTTAGGCTTTTTTCTAATTATATAGTAGTAGTTTACAATTGAGAAATTAAATGCAATGATGATGATTATCATAAAGATCCAGAGTTGGGCTATGTTCAAATTCTAGTAGTAGATTACAATTTTGTTATGTGATTACTAATTTGAGGATTTATTATTTGCTACTTTATTTATCAACTTTGTGATTGTTTGCAAGTTAGGCATTTATTTTTGTTAATTTGTTTTATAATGAATTTGTAAGATAGTTTGGTTTATTATGAACATGTTTTCGTATTTATTATATTTTTAACTTATTTTATAGCTTTTTGTTTTGTTGAGACTAAGGCCTCAATATGCCTCAAGGCTTTTGCCTCACCTCATAGAGGTAAAAGGCCGGTCGGGCTCAACAGAATAGTAGAAAATAATTGTTCCTAGAAAATGTAAATATGCCGTTAGACTAATTCAAGAGTGAAGTTGGTGATTTCTGTAGAAGTTTTCCTAGCATGGCAGGAATGCATTGCGGAAAGCCTTTGGTGTTCACTCTTTGTGGGCTGGGATGTCTGCTAATATTTACAAGTACTACAATTGGCTCTCCTTTGAAGACTACAGACCTCAAAAGAATACCCCCAAGCGAAGTGCATATGTAGTTTACCCTTCATAATACCTAATACACCAATGTCTAAATGAAAACAGGTCCTTGCTCACCTTTTCCGAGGCTGGAAAAATACTCATTGCCTTCCGGGTAAATTCACCCAGTGCATACATCTGAATTCTGAAGGGATATGCCAATATCTGGGGATATGTAACTGTTATTGTTTGTCCTTGTAATTTGGTTGTTTCCCTTCTGATATCATGCTCTTAAATTATTTGATTGTAGAGTAATATATTAGTTGTAATAACATAAGATACGTAAATTATGATTGAAAATCGTTTAGGACGTAATAAGATCAATGCTCCATTTTTTACCAACACTTTTGGATATCTTTTTTATTAGTTTAGGTTATTCTATAGTTCTTTTCTTTTTTATTTGTTTTCTAGTTAGTTTAGAAGTTCCAAAAAATTGTAAAATCTCATTCCCTTAATGCCTTGCTATGAAAGGGGTGAAATGATGCGCTTATATTTTCACTGGAAATCATAAACTTCTTGATAGGAACTCTACTTTAGAAGCCCTTCCGTTGCGTTCTCTTGGCTTGTGCCAAGTTAAGCAAATTGATACATGGAAGAGAACAAGCCAACCTGACGACATTATTTTCTATTCTCATAGATTGCCAATAACATTAAGTGACAACTTAATGATGCTTCATGAATACATATATTTTTTCTGGTAATGATCCTGGAGGGATGGGTCTTTTTGTCTTGTATCAATGGAATAACTTTTTCATTTTTTTCATTTTTGGTTCTCTTTGATATTATCTGTTGTAGTATTAGGAATTGTACTTCTTTGAATTTTGAACCATTTTTAACCTATTGAAAGGGGAGATAGGAAGAGAATAATAATATCTAATATGGTCTTTATGGTTATATCTCAGGATAAGTCTTGGAGAGTTCGCTACATGGTGGCAAACCAGTTGTATGAGCTTTGTGAAGCTGCGGGACCTGAATCTACCAGGTAATTGTTTATATCTATCTTCAATTTTGCTATTCCTTCTACTCATATTGTATTGTATGCGTATTCAAATTCTGGTTAGAAATTTGTCCGATGGCTAGAATTATATGCCGTATGCCAAACACAGGCTATGATAGTAAGATCCAATCTTTTGTCCCTCACTTTTTTGTTCTATTTCTGTCATGTCATGCAATTCGGACAGAATTTGAGACGTGGATATGGCATGGTTTAGGCTAGTTGACATGAAAGTCAAAAAACTTAAATTTTACAACCCCGAGGAGGCGCTGTATTAGAAAATATGTAATATACATAAGTATGATTATTGTATCATATATTGATGGTGTTTATATTATTCGGTTATTTGGATATGTTTACCCACAATTTGCCGTTATTTGAGTAAGTGAATGCACAATTTGCAAATATTTGGATAAGTGTACTAAAACTCTTAATTATTACTTGCTTCTTGTGAAGCAAAAGTGTGTATGCACATTAATGCTAGTACTTGTGTATCATCTTAATAGGATTTTCATTGTGTTACTTTTAAATGTGATATTGAGGATGAATGTTCACCAATCATATTAGGACCTAACTTCTTTAATTTGGTAACGTATAACCCTTGTTTGATCCCCATTTTTTAGAACTCTTTTTTCCCAAACTCATTTTAAACTACGCACTAAACCCAATACTCTCCCTTTCTCTTTAACCACACGTTCTTAAAAAAATATAAAAAAATCACTTTTTACAAAATCTATTTTTTAAAAATGGGGTTCAAATGGGGCATAGTTTTATAGAGCGTCACATGTTTCTGAAATATAAAAACCCTTTTATATATATACTTTGTCATCAGAATGTTGGACATGTCCAATAGTGTGCAGAGTGTTGCATGTTTTCTATAACGTAAATATACCGTAAGTGTACGGTGTTAAGTTTTGTAATATAATTGTAGAGTTAGGGTGTCTAACCCACAGTGATTGAATATCAAATTAATACTAAGTACTACAATTGTGTAGCATTTATTTTATCTAGATGATCAATTTTTGGAATCAATGTTTTATCTAGGTTCCGTTTGGGAGCCATTCTTTCTTTAAATAATACATTTTTTCTTTCACATCAAGTAGGGTCCAGGCTGGAAAGAGACAAAAAAATGTGTGATTTGACACAAAGAATGCATTTTTTTTGTAGAAAAATGGTTACCAAACGGAGGTCTAATCTATCAATACTATCTTTCTCAATTATATAATTATTTCTAATCAATTTTCCCAAACTTATAAGCAAAAATCCTAATTTAATTTTACTCCATCTCTCGAGTGCCTACTAAAAACTATTCATAGAATTCAATTCCAATATATCTATTCTGAATTAAATAACTAGAAATTATAAAGTTCATGGTTCTTAAGTGGAACATGCTTCAAAAGTTTTAGACTTTCAAAACCTATAAAATTTAGGTTGTATTATTCTATAATCACACCTGAGTTTCCCTATCTCAAATGTCGAAACTTAAACAATCAAATCATTCAATTAGTATCCAATTAATTGAAAGTATTAAAAATAAACAACACAAATAAACAGAATAGGCAAATCTCTATGAAATAACTAATTAAAATCAAAATATAATCTCAAGCCCTAGATATAAATTTAGTTCATGACTATAGAAAGAGACGTAATCAATTTCATAATAAAAAATATTGGCCTGTTTGTTTCTGATTCTCAAATCAATTCTCAAATCAATTCTCATTTTCAACCACACATTCTTCAATAAAATAATATTTTCCATCACATCAATACTTTTTTCTTCTTTTTCAACCACACATTTCCCATCATATCACTATTCAAAATCAATTCTTCCCCCAAAAATCCATACCAAACAGACTCTATGTAGAGAAGAAGAAAGATAAAACTATTTTTGGTGGTTGGATCGATTCTCTTCTTGATGTTCTTCTTGCTTTCTTGATTTCTTACCTCTTGCCCTGTTGAATTGTAGTTTAGAAGTATTCCATCAATTGGTATTTATCTCATCTTGAAGTCCCAAGAGAAGTTGGAGTTGGATTGATATTAAAAAGAGAGAAAAAAAATTCAAAACTTCTCCTCTCGCCAAGCGGCGTCGTGTTGCCGTGAAAATTCAACAATAATGGTGACGCAGCACCCACTTTTGGATAGAAAGTCAACATTGCATATCTTCCAGTATTTTTATCATTACATTTTCTCTCAATATCCGATTGAGGCGATTCAAAGTGTGTCGGAAAATAATTCAAAGGGCTACAACTTTACTTCAAATATCATTTTTCAATTTGAACGTTTACTATGTCAAAAATGGTTCTCAATTTCCGAATAAAAATTTGGAACATACTTGTGCGGTTGAAAATTGATTTGTGAAGATATTTTGCTATTTCACACCTTTTGACTTCTAATTGCATCCGATTGACTTCTAGCAATCTTCAATTATCGTTTTGTAGTTCGAATCAACAATTGAAAAGTTACAATTGAGTACTTAAACTTTGGATTTCACAATTTTTTATCGTTATTCACTTCTTCATTTCAATTTAACTTTCAATCATTGAGTTTCACTTAATCAGCATCAACTTCTCCTTGATTTATGCCAACATCCCTATTTTCTCCAACTTTTATACCGTTCACACCAATTCACCTAACCTATAAAATAATACGAAAACACAAATCAAAACGTTTTAAAACTCTAAGAATCAAACGAAATATCAAGATTAAGTAGCATTAAACCCATGAGTGAAACACGCTCATCATAGAGGTATCAGCATTCAACACATTTGACATGAACATGTAGCCTTTTTGGGACTGTCCATGCTTTGTAATCTTAATGCTTGGCATCTATTAATATTCTTGTAAGTGAACTATTTGTATAACTATTTTAGGCTTCAAGGATGCATATTAATGATCACTACCCTCTTCTAATTTCCTTTTCAAGTGATCATGTGATAATATTATGTTTGAAGGATGGATTTGGTTCCTGCTTATGTACGCCTACTTCGAGATAATGAAGCCGAAGTACGCATAGCTGCTGCTGGGAAAGTCACCAAATTCTGTCGGATTCTTAATCCTGAACTTTCTATTCAGCATATTCTTCCCTGTGTGAAGGTATGAAATCTACATTAAATGGACGTGGTATCCAGGGTCAGACTTATCACAAATCTACCATTATTTCCAAAAAATCAAGGATCTCTATGTCATATGCTTCCTGAGTATGTCATCTAAAATGGGTTTTTGATCCTGTATAGAACGTTCCTGTAACATAGATGCTTATGAAATAAAAGTTTTCGCAGAACAAAGTTTAATTTAACTGTTGATGAATAATACATTGTTCAAATGATGTGCTCTTTCCTTTCAATATCATATTATCTGAGGTAACATCTTGTAGGAATTATCATCGGATTCTTCACAACATGTTAGGTCTGCTCTGGCTTCTGTTATAATGGGAATGGCTCCTGTGTTAGGGAAGGTAAGATTTCCTTTGTATCTATGCTGTAAAGTGAAGGGGACTATTTTTGGCAACTTGGCTTAGTTATTGGATTCGTGCATGGTTATCTGTGATTGGAGATTCTGTATTTCAAAGAGAATGGAACTATTTAATGGGATAAATCATTGACTAGCAACATGGTAGTCATTTTCATCTGCAGTAAGCTTTCTTTTTCTTGCTCAAGGTATATGACTTGAGAAGAAACGCAAAGATCCAGTCTTATGGTTAGAATCCCCTGCATCAGTGATCAAGGGGTTAGAATAATGATTTGAAAAAAAAATCTCAAGCCTTTAGGAATATTGCCTGGCTGAACATTGGAACAAGTGGCAATGTGGTTTTCTTTGATTGAGGGAAGCTCTTGACACAAACCTAACACGAGCAGTTGGAGGTCTATGAAGACCAGAACAGTAGTGATGAAAGCCTAGATCAAATTGCTATGACTCCCAGAAAAGCATAAACGGCTATGCTACCATGTAATGGAAGCTGGTTTTATTGATACTTAATAATTGATATTATTTAAACAGTTGTCAATTTGTTCTAGGAAACAATGTATTCTGTCTAGATATAATTTTAGGATCACTTACTGCTTCTAACGTTCCACCCAAATCTATCTGAGCATAATTCTATTGGGTCATGACAGCCTACATATCAATAGAATTACTAAAAATAAGGGTAGAATATATAAAACCAAAAAGAGAATTTTGAAGATTAGGGAATTACAATGAAAATTTTAATAATGTGTACCATATATATTTGTAAGAATCATTTAATGCACCTATATTGTGGTTGTGGAACCACCTGTTGTCAGTTGCATTTTGACCTGTCTCTTGATGTACATACTTGGTATCTGAGGAAACAGAAGTTTTATTGACTCTCAAACTGGTATTTAGATGTTATTTGAAAAAAGGAAATAAAAGAATATTGGTCTTAGATGTCTGCATGACTCTCTTGGACAAAAGTTGTAGGGTAAGTATTGGCTTCAGATCTGGAGATGGGGTTTAGCGTGAGTGTTGGGGTGGGGACTTTCAGTGTACTGTTCCTATTGATCCCATTGGTGTTTCAATAAGTCGTGGCAGATGGACTCCTCTCTTTCCTGAGTGGAGAAGATTTTTCACTTCTTATTATCTTAAATGGCAATTGAATTTGTTGTGGAAATATGTGAATGTTTTCACTCCATAGTTTCATCATCATTGTGCTTTTGGACTGTTAGTCTGTTATGATTGCAGCAGGGTTTTAACATTTTGTTTTATGGTTGATGCAGGATGCAACAATTGAACAACTTCTTCCAATATTCCTTTCCCTTTTGAAGGATGAATTTCCTGATGTACGCCTCAATATTATTAGCAAACTGGATCAAGTCAATCAGGTTTGTGGTGTTTTGAGACGTGGGACCTTTTTCATTCTTATTCTTCTTTTTTTTTTTTTTTTGGGTCAGTTACTTCTTTTCCAACCTAACTACTCGATTGCCCATATTGATTTCTTGTCGTCCGTAGCTTATGCAACTCCTACTTCATTATTGATATTTCTGCACTTTGCTCTTATGGATTGAAGATGATTATTCTTAGCGGTGAAATTGAAACTGCTTAATCTTGCAGGTTATTGGAATTGATTTGCTATCTCAATCTTTATTACCAGCTATAGTTGAGCTAGCAGAGGATAGGCATTGGAGGGTTCGCCTTGCAATTATAGAGTATATACCTTTATTGGCTAGTCAATTGGGTGTAGGATTTTTTGATGATAAGCTTGGTGCCCTTTGCATGCAGTGGCTACAGGACAAGGTTAGTTTTTCTCTCATGATCTGCTAGCAGTTTGACTGTAGAGTTCTAAAAAATAAGATTTAGTACCATCTGTGGTTTGGTTATGTTTTTCATCTTTACTTGCAGTTAATGGCAACTGTCAGTTCGAAGTCTAAATAGATGTCTATGTTGTGGCTTCTTTCTTTTTTTCGTTGATGAAGTTTAGAAAAATCTGTTAATAAGGCAAAGAAAGTAAGATTACACATTCTGTGGTCTCCAAAAGTAATCATTGCCTTCTATATGAACACTATAAATGAAACTCATGTCTTTTTCTATTCTCTCTCTCTTTCTCTCCCTGTCAAGCATCTATCTTCTTTCCCATCTCGTACTTCACTTTGGTTATCTTGGTAAATGAAAGAATATCTTTTTCCTTCGCTTCATCATTGCTAATCTCCATTCTCCCTTTGCTTCTGTTGATGCCCATTGAGGGGAGAAAGGCATTCAAATGAAGAAAAATACTGTGTGCCTAAAATTTGTTGTCAATGCAGGTTTATTCTATTCGAGATGCTGCTGCTAATAATTTGAAACGACTTGCTGAAGAATTTGGTCCGGAGTGGGCAATGCAGCATATAGTTCCTCAGGTTTGTTGATGATGCTATTAGAAAGCTTCCCTTCCCTTTCCTTGTTCTTGACTATAGGGGTTAGAAATGCTAATTCTAGCCAATAAATTTACTACCAATATAGTGACCCTTAATCTTTTTCCTGGTAGTTTCAGTCAAAGCAGTTTTGCAGATTATAGTTTTAGCTTCTTAATTGATGTTGGCCAAGTGTCGGAACACATTTCTGTAAATTAGGAGAAAGTTGATGTTATCCAGAAGAAGACAGAAGGTCTATTAGTTAGTGATAACTTTTATGCCAGGAGGAAAAGATTGTTGTTAGATGGTTTAAGATTATTGTTTGGGATTTAAGATATTTCTTCCAAAGTGAAAGGTTTTTGAGGGTCTTACAGTGATGAAAGGAGAAAATTTGTAGTAAATAAAAAAGAACAGAGGAAGAAGCATGAATGTCGAAAAGAAAAGAAGACTGCTTCCCAACCTTACATATTTGATTCAGAATACCATTTGAGAATGAATAGGCTTTTGTATATACGAATTGAAGAATGCAAGGGATAGTCACTAACTTTATACTGATATTGTTTATTTCCAAACAAAATGGCCATTTTTAGTTAAAAAAGATTAATGAGACTTTTAAATTCTAGGCCTCTTCCCATTTGACACAAGGTTGGCTAGTCTTTGGGCTCTAACATTCAAGTCATTGATTATATTCAGCGACTCGGAATCCACTATATCATTGATGTGTAAGCTGAAATGTTTCCTTGGATATTGATAGATTTGATCAAGTATATATATATTTGAAGTCGGATAGATTCACAAAAACAACCCTTCTTCAAGACTAGCTGAAAGACTAAATTTTCATTACACATCCACCAAGTTGCCTCTGAATGTTTTTCTTTATGTAATAGAACTCTTCAATTCCTGTGGTCCAATACTAATACAGTTGAGTAACATGTCAATTTTATGACAATTATATAGCATATGGACTTTTTGAATGTTTAGAGAAGATGAGATGCAAACCTCATCTGTACTTTCTTCAGCATGGAAGTTTTACAAGATATTTAATATTGTCTCGTTGTTCAACCTCAACATTTGTTGGTATTTGGTCTGTAGTTGATTGAGCTTGTTAATTTAATTGTCAGTTCAGAATTTCAGCTTCGGCTAAAGTTAAGATCTTTCTAGTAAATAGGCCAGAACCCTGTCTCTGTATCTTGTGGCAGCTATATTATACTTTTAGAGCTTTAAAGTTTTAATTTTAAATCTGTAATTATTTGGATATACCTTACTGTGCTTGTATTACTATATTTGCATAGTTATTGTGAAAGATAGTGGTTATGAATTCCTCAGCTTTTGTAAAGTGATCAAGCTGAAACAGAGCAGAAGGACTGACTGCCTGCCAGTGTCAAAAAGATGTTCAATATCGAACATACATTTTTTTATTCTTCGGGGTTTTTTTTCAGTAATTATTTTTGGACCAATGAAATACTTATCCTTCTGCTATGCAGGTTTTAGATATGATAAAAAATCCACATTATTTGTACCGGATGACTGTTCTTAGTGCTATTTCATTACTTGCCCCTGTCATGGGTCCCGAGATGACATGTTCTCAGCTGTTGCCTGTGGTTGCTACGGCATCAAAAGACAGGTAGTCGTATTTTCCGCTGCTTAAATTTTTTTTTTTTTTTGGCATATAACTTTGACATTCTATGTCATTTCACAGAGTGCCCAACATTAAATTTAATGTGGCCAAGGTGTTGCAGTCCCTTATTCCCATAGTTGATCAACCGGTATGCTTTTGGCTATTGAAATTCGATTTGTACACTGGTCCCTGTGATCCTTTTTTTTTTTTTTGGCGTTCTTACCCTTATTATTCCAACCGTCTAAAGTTTCTTGTTCTTCTTAAAGGTGGTGGAGACAACCATCCGACCCTGTTTGGTAGAGCTCACCGAGGACCCCGATGTTGATGTCCGGTTTTTTGCCAATCAAGCACTTCAGTCAATTGATAATGTCATGATGTCGAGCTAGACGAGCTCCTTCTGTGGAGAGTTCATTTCTTGAGTTTTGTTTTGAATGTCCCTTTCATTTGGTTCTTCTACAGTCTAGTTTGATTGAAAAACCTTACTGTTTTGATTCACTCATACTTTCCTTCTCCTCGACGATGCTGCAAGTTATCAGCATAGACGGTTTCTTGGCTCCTGAAGCGTTTTACTTGTAAAATGGTTATGTTTATGAACAGACGAGTTTCAGGAAATGTGATAGATTAGCTTCTTGCCCTTGAAAATTATCTGAATGTTGTATTCATGGTATGTGCTTAAGCAAGTTATTGTTATCCTAGAATGTTTCAATAAGTTTTTTCATTTTATTAATATTGTTATAAATAAAATAATTACTTATTTGATAGTAAAGTAGAAGTTATTCTAAAATAAGTAATTAGTTTTCTGCATTGGCTGATTTAAGCTGGCATTATTAATTTACTTTTAAGTGAACTTTTTAAGCAATAAAGACCTTCAATGTTTTTCGAACTCACAAGAAAATTTAGGTGGATAGAAATTGATACACGCACCCTTCTAAAAAATTACATGCACCCTTCTTTGACATGTGAGGACATTCTCTCTCTCAAACTAACGTGTACGGGGTGGGGAGGGTCAATCGAATGATTAGGGGTTAATTATATCATTGGTCACTAAACTCTTCTTATGTTATTATTTGGTCATTGAACTTCAAAGTGTTTCTCCATGATCTCAATCTCAACTTTCAAATGTGATACTTGTACATCATTTCGATGGATTATGTTATAGGAAATGTAAGACAAATTTCATGTATTAAAAATACAAAAATTGTTACAAATTGTATTTTTGAGAAATACAAGTGGATGTTGATCTGCAAGATCTTCTGATTAATAATTTGATGGTTTGAAAACAAGGGGCGACATGGCTTAAATCATGGACTTTAAAATTCGTTGGGAATTTGATTTGTTGAGAACTTGACTTGTTTGGCACTTGAATTTGATTTGATTTGAAGAAAACTTCGATTTTTTTGGACTTGTTTGAATTTGAAGAAGATTTTAATCTTCTTGGTGTTTCCTGAACTTAGGCTTGAGAGAGCTTCTTTTTTTTCTCCGACTCTAGAATTTCTTCTGCGCTTGTAGTTTTTTCTCTTGCAACTTTTACTGCTTTTACTTGTCATTTTATCGTGGAGCTTTGGTCCTATTTATAGAGAGGTTGATAACCACACTTTGTGATTACCCACTTTGATTTGATTTATTTTACTTTATTATTGGATCTTAAAAGTAGGACGGACCTTTGAATTTGGACCTCGTTGAAGAGGGTTTTAGTAGGATTTAGAATGTGGAAATTACATCGTTCCCTACTTTTGGAGATCTAAATTCTAAAATCAAATTTAATTTTTAAGTTTCAAAAATCAGATATTTTATATGTAGATACAGGGTTTTTATATTTAATTAAATATGAATAATAAGTTTTTTATTTAAATATTAAACATTAATTATACAATTTTCCCAATCTAATTAGTAATTAATTTCGTCCCACCAAACCCTAATTAACGTCACTTTCTCCTCTCCATCTCCCTTACTCTCTACCTTCCCCACCTCATTTCCCCCTCCACCGCCTTCGACTGTTCAAGAGTCTTCTGAAGTGGTCAACACTCCGGCCAGCCCGAATTCTTCATCTATGTCGCTGACGCTTAGCAGCCCTTGAAGGCTGCCATGTGGAAGGGAGATGAAGTGGCGCTGCACAGCGAAGCAGCGATGGTGGAAGTGCGATTCTTAGGACATCGACGGTGGAGAGGAAGTGCGATGGAGAAGACGCCAGTCGCTTCTTGCAGCGACGAGCTCCACTATTGTCTCCGGCGATGGAGAGGACGCCAGTCACTTCTCGCAGCAGCGAGCTACGGGAGTTTCAACGGCAAAGTTTGTGCGATTTATAAGTGGTGATTAGTGGAAAAATTCATATATAAGATGATTCCTACTACAGAGATCGATGTTGTGGTGCGATCTGTGGTGATTTTTCCACAACATCGATTTTTCCCAAACTGTTACCTGTGGTGCGATCTGTGGTATGTGTTCTGATTTGTGTGGTGGTGCTGGAGATCGATACTATGAGATGGGTGGTGTGGTTTGTATTTTAGTGGTGCTTGTTGTGGTGATTGTTTAGTGGTGGTGGTACGATGATAGGTTGTTGTTGGTGGCGATGGGCAGTTATGGTAGTGGTGCCTTTTTTGTTGTTGGTGGCAATGGACAGTGATGGTGGCTGCGGTGGTGGTTCATTTTGTTGGTGGTGGAGGTGGTTGTTGGTAGCGGCAGTCACGGTTGTGCATTTCTGTTGGTGGTGGAGGTGGTGGTTTCCTCGTGGTGTTGGTGGGGTGATGGTGCACAGTGGCAGTGGTGGTGGTGATGTTGGTCGTGGTGGTTGTCCTGGAGGCGGTGGTAGTGGTCGTGGCAATAGTGCAGAGGTGGTGGGGGTGGATCTGGTCATTTTGGTTTGCTGTGACTAAAAATATAATCTATGACCAAATAATTCGATAATCTGTGACTAAAAATAAAATCCGCGACCAACTATTTCGTTATCTGTGACCTCAAAATTATATAATCTATAACCGTGAAAAAATCTGTGACCAAATAATTTGAAAATCTGTGTTCGTGTGACCTTTTGTAACTAAAAATATAATCTGTGACCTTAAAATTCGATAATTTGTGATTAAAAATATAATCCGTGACCAATCATTTTGTTATCTGTGACCTAAAAATTATATAATCTGTGACCATAAAAAAATCAGTGACCAATTATTTTGGTAGTCCGTGACCGTGTGACATAAAAATGTTGTGACCAAAAATCAATATTAACAGGTCACATGTGGAGAAGTCGTCGGAACGGTCACCGGAATCGGAGAAGTCACAGGAACGGTCACCAGAATAATCGTCGGAATCGGAGTAGTCGCTGGAACGGTAGGGGTGGTGGAGGTGGGGTGGGTTAACTATATATATATATATATATATATATATATATAGATTTTTTTTTTCTTTTTATCTTTTTATATATTTGTATATATAAATAAAAATATATATAAATATATGTGTATGTATATGTTAAAATATCTTATTTTTGAAATGGGATGTTGGGTAGATCTTATATATGAATTTTTCCCATTTAGAATTTATTTCAATACACTTAGATAGGCTAATATTTTAAATTTGACCTATCCATTTATTATTAATTATTTTTTTTAATGCCTACAAATATCCCCAAATATTTATTTATTGAGAAATTAAATAAATTAATAAATCTTGATTTTATTTCTTTTATTTAATTTTTTAGTGAATTTGATTCAATTTTTTTTTTTAAAGAAAACGTGAATAAAGCTATTTTTTTAAAACAAAACGTGAATTTTTTATTTTGATTGATTTGATTTTTTTAATCAGAAAAATAGAGATTTAGTTGGATTGTACAACTTGAATCTTGATAAAGGATCTCTGATAAATGCATTTTACATATTTATTTAGGCCAAAAAATATGGATAATTGTTGGTAAATATATTGAAATGTGGTTTAATTTTATATAAATTATTTTTTGTAGGATAAAATCGATGGACATGGTGAAATTTAGGAAAAACAAGCGAAAAATGACTGAAATGAAAGAAAATCAAAGTTCATGGATCAAAGTGCAAATGGTCGAAAGATGACCTGAAAGAAGAAACGAAGATATTAAAGAGTTGAAGACCAATTTAGCAAAGACATGAAGTATTGGAAGAAGAAAAAGTGAGAAAAGAGGTCAAGAAACGAGAAAACGGAGTTCGAGGACCAAAACGCAAAGAATGAAATTTCACTTGAACTATGCTATAACACAGTTATTCTTTCCATGCAGTCGCTTGTCATGATTCAGGGAATTCTAGGGTTGAAATTCATTGAACTATGCTATAGCATAGTACATTTTCGAAGGAAAAATTCTGGTTTTCTTATTTGAATAAAACTCTTATGGGAACTTTTTTAAGACTTAGGGCCGTCCATAATGGAGAAACACATTCTAACAGATTTTGGAGCATAGAAGGAGGTAAGAAATACAAAGATTGATTTCAAGACTCGAAAATTCAATTCAAACTTTATTTGGGTGATATCCATTCTTCAATATTTCTTTTGTTTTCTTTTTCATACCATGTTACGCTAGTTTTCTTTGTGCTAGGAGAATGATGAATCATGTAATGTGAATTTTTGTTCTTTAGTTTTACATACTTGAAATTGAAAACACGTTTTTGGATATTGAATGATTTATAAGATGTTATTTTTTCCACAATTATTGTGCACGGTAGTTGTATAACTGTGGTGCCTATTTTATACATTCAAAAAAAGGAAAATAGGCCCGACATAATGTAAATCGTCATAGGGTCCGATAGGGGATAGAAATATACTGCTATACTCTATGTGAATGTTTAAGTATTCATAAAAATATATGTATTCTTGTATATTTGCATTTGTCATAAAAATATAGTCGGGTCATATATGAGAGTAGGTTTAACATTACTTGAGAAAGACTGTTAAATAATATAGGAACACTGATTCGTCAAAATTCAATAATGTTATCAAAGTGTAACAACTAAGGTTAAAAAGGATTATTGCATGGGAATCGGGATCCTAGCGCATTTGAAATCTATTAAACACATCAATTTGCATTTAGTTTAATTAATTTACCCATAATTGTATAATATAATATTTTAGTCATAATTTTGTCACAACCAAACACACCACATTATTCTTGTTTTGATTAAGGTTGTGATAATTAAAATTGAATTAAATCAATCTTTGTGAGACGATACTGGGGCTCAAATCCATTTTATTACTTGTTAACAAACCGTATGCTTGCAATGTTTTTAATTCGGAAGATATTTTCGTGAATAAGTTTTTTGCGCTACTGTTAGGGATTGTATTTGAGTTAAATTTCATTTATTGTAACACTAATTCGAACTTCGTCTTGTATTCTAGAATTTTTTTTCTTTTTTATATTTTAGTTTTTTTTCCCTTTTTCGAGATATAAAAAAAGATAAAAAAAAATAACAGGATAAAAGATGGTTGTGATTGATTTCAACAAAATGCTCGTACGGGACTTCATCGCAAGGCAACAACAATTGACAACTCAAGAAATTGATGAGAGGGATATGCTTGTGGGATATTTCATTATAGAACAGTGACAACGAGATATAAAAGTGGAATGTGAACGTGATGAAACTATCCTGGGTGACTTGCTTGTTGCATTATTTCTCTCACAAAAAAATGACATGGGTGATTTGCCTATGGAATTATTTCTTTCACGGATTATTAATGAATATCAATTAAGAGAATTAGATCTACTGAACTTCCAACAAATACAACAAGAGGAGGAGACTTTCCATGAAGATGTCATTGTTTCTTTGTCCAAAGTTTTTGATACAAACGTTGAACTCAAGAAAGTTACAATTAAAGAAAAAGAGCATGAAAATATCGAGAAATTAATCATAATGGGCCAAAAAGAATCAGTAGCATTCAAAGAAGAGGAAATTAACATGCAATCCCTCGACTTTATCGTTTGGTAAAATTGAATTTGTGATTAAATCATATGAGGAGATTGAGGTGTACATTGTTGAGTTCGAAATAGTAATGAGAACAAATCATACTACTTGGACTATGGAAATGTTAAAATTTGGAGGAAAGTTGTAATATGGAACAAAGTCAAATTGAGCAAGCTAAGCAGGACCTCCAAGCCATATTCAAAGTGCCATGAAACACTTGTACAAAAGTCGAGCTTGAAACTATAAATTGAGTGGTTAATGGGAGGCAACCCTTTTTTTTCTATCCATTTTCCTTATTTTGATTAACTATTGCAATACAAGTAGTTTTAGGGATTGCATTAATTTAGAAATTCATGCATTTAAATTGTTTTTAACACATTTTAGGTAGGACTTTAAGACTTGAATTAGTAACTTAGTGATAAGTGCATTTTATACATTTATCCGGGCTCCAAATTATGACGTTTTGTGGTTCTTTTAATGAGATTATAGCCTAATTTATAATATAATGTGTTATTAGGTGAAACTCGATGGATGATGAAGAATTGGAGAAAATAATGCAAAATGGGCGAAAAAGAGGCAAGATTCAAAGTTTGGGGACTGAAGTGCAAATGCTCAAAAGTTGTGTAGAACCTCACGATAAAAATTCGAGAGCACTAGGAGTCAATTGGATAAAGAAGACGTCAAAGGGATAATATATTGTCAAAATATGATTACACATCAATTT